GAGAGAGAGAGAGAGAGAGAGAGAGAGATCGGACTTGTACCTATATTCAGATACTTATATATATACACAAAATTTATTATTATTAATATCTCAAATGCTCTTTTTATTATAATTGAATTATAATATTATATTTATAGGTACAAATCCGATACTGAGACATTTACATTAATATAAATTTAACGTGTTATCACATTGTATAACTTTAATCGCAAGTACAAGATGCAGTCGAATAAAGTGAGATCACAAGTTAAGTGCCTTTAAAATGAAGGGAAAGGCATTATTTATTATCTCGTAAGTTTTGATGTCGACATCAAACATCACACATCGAGAGAATCCAGGTCAGCCGATGAAAACCATTTCCACGCTTATCGATCGCGGCGCGCCGTTATATCGTTATTGTTAATCTCGCTATAATCGTTTTTCGACGTTGTTTTCAGAGCGCGAGTGAACTTCCTTCCGCGAACGGCGACGGGGGTGAATTTGACGCCCGACAAACTGGCTGCAAAAGATTCGACGATAAAAATGAGGTAACAAAAATGGACGCCATCTCGGCGAACAACGCGCAGATGAAGAGATGGGGAAAGAAGAACGACGGATGTGGAATAGGTAAAAGAGAAAAAGGCAGGTTGGGGGTTATCGGAGTAACGGAACAAGGATAAAAATGAGAGAGAGAGAGAGAGAGAGGGGGGGGGGACCGAATAGACGCATCAGAGGAGCTCAAAACTAATAACTTCGCGTTTCGGATAAATGGGCCTGCATACACGTGCCAAGGCACGAGTTTTCGTGCTACTAGCGGCTGAATCCGACTTTTAAAATTTACAGCTGCGACATGTGAAATCGAGTTTTGATGGACTATGAAATCGCGATTTCTACCAATACGATATACGAACGATGCAAAATATTCAAGGTCAACGTGGCGCAAAAATCGTATGGATTAATTTGACTATCAAGTACATAATGATAATATAATTTGATAATTAATCCTTCAAGTCAATATGAATTTCGAAAATTTTTTAAATGCTTCTGTTTAATAGTTATCTGTAAAATTTACATATATATACATAATATAACAATTAGTAATAAACTGTTCCACTTGATACGTGCACTATAAGTGTGTTACTCATTACCTACTTGTGTATTGGTTGCAGTTAACAGTAAATGTAAAACAAATTGATGAATAAAACGATTGATGACTCATCGTGAAGATGAAAAATCAGGAGTTGTAAAAATCGCGATTCGCGCGTCACGAATGTCGTTTTCTTCTTGTTCGATGGCAACATTTGGATACACCAGTGACATTCGACGCAAAAACGGAAAGTCGGCAGGCCCTTTTCCCACAGTCGCCAAATATAGCTTGGTCTAGCTTGCTCATCCGCCGTTCCCCAAAAGTATCGTTCGATCCTGATTGCTTTGGTGCGACCCATATTTCGACATCGACATTTTGATGTGACGTATGCGAGCGACGGAATAACGCGAGAGTTAACAGCGGAATAGGGAATAGGGGATAGGGGACTTTTTCCATCAGCTCAATACTAACGAAAATATTTCAGCCATATATTCATATGTATATATGTAATACGATATGAATTTTGAACCGATGAGAATAAATCTAATTAAATAAGAGAAATCCTATATTCGATCAAAATGGATCCCAGTGCTTAAATATTTCTGTGTGAATTTATATACATATCTGATTCTGCAAACTGCGCGCCGAAATCGGTCTTGAAACGCATTCATGAGCAGAGTAGTAATATCATTTATTAAATTAACAAGTAATTTAATACAATAATTTTTTGATGCTAATAAGCGACATATAGAATCAATCTAGTGGCCTATTTCTGTAATTATTAACGATTGTAATTGCAGCGTTACAGTAGCACAGTTTTTTATCATGTACAAAATTTGCGCAACAATAATGTAACGCTATAGTTACAGTGTCGTTAACAGAATAGGCTTCTAGATTCGTTCTCATCGCATCGGTTCAAAATTTGTGTCGTAGCATATTGTTTATCTCCTTGAAATATGACGTTCTCGCTTACTAAATATTATTGGTTATTGCGACAAATATTACAGAAGCTTCGCTGATCGAATTGATATGATGTCGTCCTGGAAAGTCGGGAGTTTTAGGTTTAAATTCTGGCTGAGGCAATTTTTCGCAATAAAACTATTTGCAGATTTAGATTCTTTTTAACATCTTATTATTAATATTCTTATAAAGATGCTTATTAGCATAAAAAATTATTAAATTTCTTCAATTTAATAAGTGATATTTAATACTCTGGTTCTACTCATGAATGCGTTTCAAGACCGAAAAAGATTTCGGTGTGCAATTTGCAGAATCAGATGCGCATAAATAAATTCACACAGAAATATTTAAATATAAATGTGTCCGCTTTAATCAAATGTAGAATTTCTCTTATTTAATTAAATATATAAACGTTGTATATTTCTATAAGAAAACGTTTTTAATTAATTAGTACTTATAGAAGCATACACAAAGCTGCAATAATTACGCTCGTCTGTGAAATTGTTCAGACGTTATATTAATTCATCAGGCTTCGCAGATAATTATCCGTGGACTGTTGTTAAAAGGTATTTTCTTTTATTATTATAAAAAATATTAAATAGTTTGCCTTTCATATGTGTGTGCATATTTATCAAAGAACCATGTTTAGCGTATGGATTTATACATTGAGTCGATGGTGATTTCTGCCAATATGGTATTCGTATATATACGAAAATGTGCAAAATCATTTTTTTGTTTTTCAATGAAATATGATACATCTAAACTGCATATATAAAGAATTCGCGCATTGCGCTTTACGCGATGCGTTTCTGTAGCACGGAGTTTGTTTACGGGAAAACTCTATTTTGGATATTGGCAATTTTACGTTGGAATGTATTGTGGCCGCAGGCTGATCCACAGAATATTAAATTTCTCGTTGAAAAAAAAAAAGAAAAATTGTGACAACACCAGTGATAACTACGACGGCCTATTTCCTATACAAATTATCCATCTGCTACTAGCCACTACTAAAATTCGATTGAAAAGTCAGCTTTGATATTTTTTTAATTAAACGTTCTCTTTCCCTCTTTTATCTTAACCGTGCGCCTTTTGGCTTCACATTTATTATTGCCGAGTAACTTAAAGCGACGTATATTTTTTGCCTGTGCATAAGATAAGATATACTCGACGGTCAATAAATTAGAGCAGAGATTGCCGTCGTACAGTAAGCAATTTCCTCCCTACCTCCTTAGTCTGCCGGTTGCACCTTTGCATAGCCACCGTCTAACACCTTGGCGAGATAGTTAACGCGAACGTTGCGATATAAGGAGGTCGTAAAACCTAGTTATTGCACATCGTGCATAGATTATAACGATCGAGCATCGCTCGACCATACATACCTGTTACGGAGACGGTAACGTTTCTTCATATACTCCACAGTTACTGACGTATTTTCTACGTGAGATATGTACTAATTGATTTTTACAAGTTCTTGTTTTTAAATCAAACAAATAAAATATCTGTAAGAGCCAACACAGGAAGGGCGTATGCAATTTTTAACACGTTTCGGCTAACAGTGGACGGTTCGGCTAAAAGCGTGACTATCGCGTTTAAAGTAAAACACGAAAGTCATAATAATATTATAAGAATATTATCATGACTTTATTATTTGTCACTTTTAAGTTCATTTTTAAGTGATAAATGACGTCATAATGACAGTCTATGATATCATTATGATTGTGTTCTACCTGGGATGGATCGTGGTGAACTCTACGGGTCATATTGGTAGGTCATGACGCATAACTAACTCGTATAGATATCTACTTACATATATATTTTAGATTACAAAAATATCGCTATCGTCTCTTGTGTAGAAAATGCTTGATTGACGGTAGTCCAGCAGAGTAACCATAACCGACATAACTCATATACCGGTGATCACGTCATTGTGAACATGTTAATTATGTATCTCATTTCATGTTCTGTATAATAATTTGCTTCAATTTCTTATTACTGTGCTCTATATTTGTGCGAATTTTATTATTAGCAAGATTTTTATGTACTGAAGTTGACTCAAAACGAGAGTCGAAACGTTCATACTTTTTATATATAAAAATAAATTTATGTCCACCCTGCCTTCTTGTGTTGGCTCCAATAAGTATTTTATTATCGTTTAATCTATATCTATCTTTAGAGCCTAAAATCTTTTCATATCATCTTGTATTTAATAAAATTTTTTAAGTCCACTGCTGACTTTTATTTTACTTGATAAGTCGATAAAAGAAACTTGGAAAAAATATTTTAGAAAAGAAGATTATTTGATATATTGCAATGGTACATAAATCAGCGTATCGTTAGTAATAATAAGTTTTCTAATATTTGATCTAATATATTTTTAGTAATGCGTACTGTTTTCTCCATCATTATTTGTTATTATATTCTTCTACTCAATAATCTTTATAATATGTGCATTTGAAACTAGTGGAAATAACCAGACGTACGTATGCATTTAATCCATGTTCAGCACGTATTTACAGAACGTTTTCACAAGCGTATATTTGTTCGACTGCTTCGTAATTCACTGTAATATCTGCACAGGGATCCAAAGCTGAATGTAATCGCTACGATTAAACTTGGATGAACACAGAGACTGATATTGGATATCCGCTGTCATTGGACGTAATGAGATGGATTGAGGGAAACTTAGGAAATAGTTTCGCATCTATTACTTCTTAATCGGGGCTTTAGCATGTCGCAGTTGCGAATCAGTGATATAAAGCAAATTTATCGTCATTACATGGAGTTGGCCTAATCTATTTGATAGTGCTACTATAATGTTCCTTTTTAGGCTTATTGATAATCATAGTACGTCTTTTTTTATTAGGATGTTTTTATTATGTCTATCGTAAAGTGTATTGTATTTGCGTTTTGCAATTTCTTATGCAGTCAGCTAATAGTGTAGACCATAATCATCAAATTTCAGCTAATCTAATGGTTACTAATCCTCTAAGACGGAATACACGATATATTTCAATTTGTAAGCTTAAAGTTTGATGAACAATTAAAAAGCGCAGGTAATAGGAAGAGAGAATAAGATATTTCAATCTATATCAAAAATCGTGCATAATAAAATATATGAATTACACGATGTGTAGAAATCTGTTATTCCCTGTTCTTATTAAATTATACAAAATAACATCGAGAAACATACTTCGCAAGATTGATTATTTTTTTCCTATTTCGACTCAATACTTATTGTTGTTATAAATTTATCTCTTCTTTTTTACGATTAATAAGATTTTGATATTAGCAAAGAAATCGCATTTCTATTTTATCCATTGTTATCGCGTTAATAGAAAATACGTCTCAAGTACGTCTCTTTTTAGTAGAGCACTTTTTAAATTCTGAATTAAAACAATGTTTTATTTAATTAGGATAGTGAATATGCATGACTATTTTACCATTTAATTCAAGAAATGTCTTTCCTTATAAACAATTATTACGAATTTGATTAGAAGAAAAGCAACATTGCTAACTTTTGGCAGTAAATTGAGAGAATTACAAACGTGTTATTTTTTCAACATAAATATATATTATAACAAGATATATATTATATAGTCTTTAGGATCAATTTCTTTTCATTATCTCAAAAACACTATATTTTTTTATTTATTGTATCATCTTTCTATCAACGCGGTGACATGTATATATTAACATGTATATATCTTGTTTTATTATATATAAAAAGTGTGATATACGTAGTATGATAAAATACGTTTGTACATGGGTGTTTGTAATAAAGGTGCAAAGAAATGGTATAAACGCCGTGAGTAATATTGTTGTCAACAGTCACGCTGAATGTAGCGGCGAAAGTCTATATATATTCTTACTGCATGTAAATATATAAATAAAAGCGAGATTGTGTAATGATAATGCATGTTCAACGCTACCAGCGCCTACCAACGCGAGCTAACGCGAGTGTAGAAAATGTCAAGCTGCATTACAGTAGAAACAATATACCACAATGCAGATTTTTCTCGTCTTTTCTCTAGATCTGTATTCATAATATTTCTTCCTAATAAAAAAATTTTAATTTCTACGTGATGAAAGTAAACAGAATATAAAAGTAACAAAACAATGTTATGCAACCAGTTTACAAGATTATAAAGTTACGTTGTTTGTGTATACAAAACAATATATTGTAAATATTTCGAATGTGCAACAACATGTATTGTAGAATGGTCGATGATCTTTATTGAATACCAAAAGAATAAATTTCCGCTTAGATGTAACAGTTTCAGGTTTTTATAGGACGATAATTTTAATGCGCATTTTACATTTAATATAAATCATAATAGATTTTGAAGTTAATTCGTGAATAAAAGTTGGTATACAAAGATTTACATTAGTTACATTTTAATATAAATGTTAAAAAAGTTTGTATTTTGTTAAATAATTTCATATTCTTTATGGGAGAATATTACAATGAAAAATTTACTTGATTCTATATTTCACATTCGCTAAATAAAATATATTTGAATGCGTTGACATAAGCCAATATAAATTTTTATTCATATACATTCACACATAAGTTATGTATACCTACGTATATGGTCTCTGATCATATATTATTAGGTAACTATAACTTTACACGAAACATTTTTTTCTCGAATGTCTTGTTTCCGAAATATTTCACATATGGTCCTTTTTAGGCTGTGTTCCAAAATTCTCTGCCAATGCTGAAAATGTATAGTACGTAACATAAATTGTAGATTTTCAGCGCTGGCAATGAATTTTGGAACACAGCCTCAGTCACCCTGTATATTACATATAATATGAATTATATGTAGATTAGTAATAGAGTTACAATCAATTTATCAAATAAAATTTCCAAAAATAAATGAATCCAATACACTAATGATATTAAAACGTTAAGAGTAAGAATAGAAAATTGTCGAGTAGGTATGTCTGAATATTTAAAAAAAGTTGAACATATATGTTTATATAATTCTTTCGCAAAAACAATATAATGTTTTATTTTGTTAATCTTTACAATCTGTAATTTTGATATATTTGTATCAAATTTAATTTACTTGTAGTCAAAATTTGATATAAAGAAAAAAGAAATAATTTATTGCAAAGAATATAAAGTTATGCAAAATAACAGCAAAACTTTTGAAGTTCTTCTACGTAAAATTATGTTTTCCGACTTTTGCATGTGTACCTTTCTCTTGAGAACTACTAAATCAATTTTTAGAGGTTTTTAATTTCTTCATAAATAAGTGGATGATTTAATCATTCGGTTATTAATAATTATATAAATTTTACAAAAAGCTAAGAGCAATTAAAGTTACAAAGAAAACTAATTTTTTTGAACCATAATTAAAAATCAGAAAAAAATTTATTTAGAAAAAAGTATCAATCGAAATGTAATCAAATATATCTAAAAGTAATATAAGAAAGTAATTCAGATATATTATTATCAGTGATAAGAAAGAAGAATATAAAATTTAGATGATTTTGTTCTATAATCTATAGTTTCACAATTGTGTGCTTTCCCTTAATTACAATTGATACATACAATATTACAAATAATAAGTAAAAGTGATTAAAAGTATAATAAAAATAATTAATAAACAATTGTTAAAGATATGTGTGTGTAATCATTTTATTTTCATTAATATGTAAATTAAAGTTTTCAATAATAGTGTACGATATTAAAAAATTCAAGTATCTAAAGTCACTATTATTGAATTTTTGATTAAATCTTTATTATAATCTAATTTTTATTAATACATAAGCTAAAAAATGCTTCGATGCATAAGATAGAATAATATAGAATTACAATCCGATTAATAATTGCTACGTTTCGCGGTAATACATTTTCATATTATTTTACACAATTATTAAATTTCTGTTATTTTTACACCACTTTTCTACTTTTTTAATTAGCCAGGAAATGTTATACAATGAAAAAAAGATTAAATAAATTTTGTTATCGAATTTGTCAAATCTGTAATATTTGCTTTAAATTCTTCATAATCTTTAGGTTAACAATGTAAAAAAAAGGTTCTCTCCCATTGGCTGTGAAGTGGGAAGACACGACCTAATACATTTATTGTTGTGTAAATTCGTAAAATAGATCAGGTAGCTCTATCCAATCCTCTCTACACGATGCGATACAAACCTTTGAAAATTATCCGATTTAACTGTAATCTGACAGAAAAGCTGGCTATAAATAAAGCTGGTAAAATTGCACTTTTATCTGCTTGCATGCTTTCCGATATTGTAGACACATATATTGATTATATTTACTGGTTGTCTTGTTTTACATCTACATTTGATTAGTTGATCTATGAATTGTGAGAATTACGATTTTTTATTCAGAACATTCTTTTGAATCAAAATCTAAATATGAATCTAGGCGATAATATTACAGTAATTTTAATTATATAAAATGTTAAAAGTACTTTAGCTCTGTGGATTTTAATGTATATCATTATATACATTAATTATTCACTGAACATTATGACTGCGTTCCACTTAACGCTCGCAACGCTCGGAAACATCGTTTGTCCTTGTTTAACATTTGATAAACGATAAGGGTGAAATGATTCCACGAGCGTTGTGAGAATTAAGTGGAACACAGCCTACATCTAAAATATTTTTCTTCTATATTTGAAGAACACTTTAAAAAAAAAACAATCAATTATTAGACTTGATTAGAAGATTATTAAATCTTACGTGATCATTCTGATACATCGGATATCACACAATTTTTTACTTTTTGAGTGATTTTTAATTTTTCGATCGTGCTTTTATTTCTTAACTTATAATATAAAGAAATCTCGTGAAGTGGCAAATTCTGATTTTAAAGAAACTTTGTATACATGATATAAATTACATCAATAGATGAATTAAAAAAATATTAATTGGGGTGAAAAAAGCGATTTTAAAGGATAAAATCACCCTTTTTGAGTTAAGTGCTTTTCAGCACTTTTTTCGTTATATCTAATAAATTATTCAAGATACCTATTACAAATGTTTTATGCAAAAAGTTTATAATAAAATAGAGGTGCTTTACACCTCTCTATTTATCTACGTTAATAATGTTTTAATAAATAATCACTTTCAGAATTTATATTTTCACAATCATTTTAAAAAAATATTGACGTAGATAAATAAATAAAGTAATTTCATTATAAAATTTTTGTATAAAACATTCTTTGTCTTCATGGCAGAATGATAAAATCGTTAGAAAGAAAATTGGACGTTCACCAAGCACTAATCACGTCAGATATCAGGAAGGAAAGCAAGTTGATGAGATTGGAGAACGTGGTCAGGACCAGCAAGCAAGTTACATAGTGCCGCCGCAAATGCGGCCCATTGCGGAATTTATGATTCGTAAGTGCATAACTCCGCCATTAACCATGAAATAGTTTCCGGCTATCTGCTCCGTTCCATGCAGCGTGAGCCGCGTGGATGCGTTCGCAGAGCCGACTGGCGCATAGCCGACTGTCCTCTCATATTTCCATCCGGTTCACTTATCGGCGTTGGCATTATTCGAATTATTAAGCACCCTACGCTGAGCTGTAATCGACGACCCGTTCCTACCCCGCTGTGGCCGCGGTTCTATTGAGCGTATAACGCACCCGTTTTTCGTTGATCCATTACACGCTGCTTTTCAGCTCTTAAACATTATTTCCCTGATTTTCCTAATTTGTTCGCAGTGCCGCT